CAATTGTAGTAACCCATGATCCTAATTCTCATACTTTCATCTGATCATTGTATAGATTTACCCTTGAATCATCTACTATGCAGTATGTCTTAACCATCAGAAATTATTTCAAATTCTTATTGAGTATGTATGTGGACAGAGCTTAACTTACATAGAAATATAAAACAAAAATGTTATACCATAGAGATCATATTTCAAGAATAAAAATAATCTAACTACCCTAACCAACATTGAACAGTAATTTCCAACAATGATTCTGTATTAACCTAGGACCTCCCCATTGATTCTGAACCATATCATAAAGTTTACAAAGAAAAATCTGGCTTCAATTTTATGCATATACATTATGTATCTAGATGATAGATGTACACATCAATACTTTTGCGATGAAAGTGAATGAACTAAAAACACAGAAATAATAAACAACAAAACAAAAAGACTGGAGATCATTGACAATTAAAGTCCTCCCAAATAGTTTCTGTCCGTAGGGTTATTTCCCATACAAGCAGTCTTTGAAACCTGAACCATCTACCTCTTTTCTGCAACCTTAGAATTGGTCTCCATTGTCATAGTTTTAAGAATAATCTTTGTTATGTCAATTTCTAAGTACTGGTTCTAAATTTATTTTAAAGTTAGTAATTTCAACTCACAGTTGTTCTATAACTCAGGGTAAAGCAATTACTTTAGTGTCTGTGATCAATTTACAAGGCAAGACAATAATTAATCAGAAAAGCAGCATCTACCTATACTGGACTGGAGAAACTTCATAAAATAAAAATGCAAATCCAATACCCTCAAGGCTGACAAGTTTCTATTATTAAACTGCTAACATGTTTATTTCCCCCACAATAGCTGGATTTTTGTCATGAATACGCATGAGGCCCTGTAGTTATTAGCTGTGATGACTAGGTGACAGTGAGGACACTACTTGAGAATTTGTATTTGACAGATCATTGACACATAGTCACAATTCTTTTTTTTTTTTTCTCTTCACTTAAACAGGAATCGTGCAGGAGAAAATCAACTGAAGCTATCAGAGATTATTCAGGTTTAATAGCATACATCGCTTTAGCTGGTGGTTAGAACAATACACAGTGTGGCAGAGTTAAGCAGAGGCATCAATTATACTCTCAGACCTGTTAATATTTTTGACAATATTTAAATAGCACATCCCTTCAGGGCATGGCTTTTTTGTCCTCTCAGTTACACACCTGTCAAGTTTTTAATTTGCCAAAGGGAAACAGTCTGATTTCTAAGGGGCAGTCTTAATACTGAGGAAGCAAATTAGAGAAATTAAACACTATTGAATAGAAGTAATGAGGAGGATCTGAGGGGGAAAAAATTGTAGGCTTAATTCAACATGGCATGACAGCATCTGTCATTAATGCAACAATATGATCATGTTCTCCAACATGCTGCATATACCTCCGGCTTTTTAATTATTCACTCCCTTTACTTCTCTAAAAGACAAATGAATGGTGGAGGAGATTCTATCAAATTTTCGAGTAGTATTAGAAAAGGTAGAGACAGTAACTTGCAACAGTCATGCATATAAAATTATACATTTGAAAACATAATTTAAGTAATAAATATAAACTAACCATTTGTCAGATATGTATAGCCACTGATTTAAAAGTTTGAAAAATATTTTATTCCTTAGATACACTGATTAATTATTAAATTATAAATACTAACAAATTAGCAGTTAGTGTTTGCAGCCCTTGTGTCTTCTGTTGAGGAACAGTGTTTTTTCTTCATATTATTTGTTGAACTCTCTTTAGTGTAGGGTTAACTTTATGATCATTAAGTAAACTGGAAGTAGATCTTTGTAAAAATTAAGAGTGGAATGGGAGAGGGAGGAGGAAGAAAGATTGGAGTGTGGGCAGGAGGAAGGGTAGGCTGGAAAGTATCACTATGTCCCTAAATCTGTATATATGAAATACATGAAACTTGTATAACTTAAATAAAATTTTAAAAAAAGAAAAAAAAATAGCAATTAGTGGGTCCAACATGACAGAAGTCTAGAATATTTAAATTTAATATAGAAAATAACAGTTTTTGTAGTTTATAGTCATACAAGAAAAAAATAGACATGAATTAATAAAGAATGGAGATTAAACTAGAGTTACAGAAACTCTAGAAAGTTATCATGGTTTCAGAAACACAAAACTCTTGGCACTGAGGTAAGACAGGATAAAAACCGGCTCACTAAATGAAGATCCTCCAAACCTGAAGTTAATCCATTACCTGACCAGACAATGTACCAGTCCCCAGATCTAAACCAATAGGGAGCAAGAAGCTTCCAAACCCCAAATACAAAAGACCCTCGACTGCCCTGCCCAGGATTTCCCCAACCCACACATATGCTCACAACAGGACAGAAGAACAATATTTGGCCTTCCTGGGGTGGCAGTAATGAGCAACACTGGCATTTTGGGCTTGTAGTACACAAGGAACTACGTGCACATCCACAGAACATCAAGTTGGGTGCAAGTTGATAAGGCAGAATGCTAGGCCAGGTGTACATCAAAGTGCCATGTGCAAAGGAGGAACAGCCACACCTCCACTAAAATAAAACCCCCTGCCTACTTCATATCATTGAGCTAGTTCACCCTACTCTCCCTTGTGTTTGTCTCCATTGGGTTTGAGCACAAGCCCCTAATAAAGCTTGTCTAGCTTGCACAATGGCCTCTTACCAATTTCTATTTGGAAATGAGACAAAGAACCTGGGGTCTGAAATACAGGGACCACATTTTTACCTTTGGGGAGAACAATAAAGAAGAAGGAAGAGAAGCCACTGTGCAAAAGAAAGGGCTGTGTGTTGGTGGCCAAGACAACAAAGTTCTAGCTCTACCTTTATGATCAAATGACTGAACTTCTCTAAATCCCCATAATAAACAGGATGATAAATAGTTGTTTTCACCTCCAAAGCAAAAGTAATCATGGAGCTAAAAGTGCAAAGGTATAAAAATCAGCCTACAGAATTCAGAAATCAGTATCTACCAATAATAAAACAATAATGTTATACTGTACTTAGTTGCAGAATATGAGGGTCTTTCACATTATGCTTGATATATATATATATATATATATATATATATATATATTTGACAGGCAGAGTGGACAGTGAGAGAGAGAAACAGAGAGAAAGGTCTTCCTTTGCCGTTGGTTCACCCTCCAATGGCCACCGCGGCCAGTGCGCTGCAGCCGGCGCACCACGCTGATCCAATGGCAGGAGCCAGGTACTTATCCTGGTCTCCCATGGGATGCAGGGCCCAAGCACTTGGGCCATCCTCCACTGCACTCCCGGGCCACAGCAGAGAGCTGGCCTGGAAGAGGGGCAACAGGGACAGAATCCGGCGCCCCGACCGGGACTAGAACCCGGTGTGCTGGCACCGCTAGGCGGAGGATTAGCCTAGTGAGCCACGGCGCAGGCCTTGATATATTTTTCTGAGTAGGTTTCATCTGAATCACACGGGACCCAACTAGTCTTACAGCCCATATCCTACTTCCATATGGAAATGGTAACACCATCTCTAAATGAGGCCCATTCATACAGTCTCTCATGGAATACAGTATGCACAAATATTTTTCCCCTTACAAAAAGTCACCTACAAGGGAAATTTCAACAGTTATCTCACTTGGCTAGTGGAATTTCTTAACATTGTTTTTGTTTTGACTTTTCTTCCCACTTCATTCTGACTTTTACGTGACACAATAAGGAAGAAAAGACATCTGTTCAACTTCTGGTCTGACAGAAAAAAAAAAAAAACAAAGAATTTTCTACATCATAATTATATTAAAGATTTTGGTTTCTCTGAAAGCTTCCCAATCCATTCTGAAAATCAGTATGGAGAACCAGTCTTTTCAATAACTTATAAACTCAACTGCACATAACAAAAACACCTTTTAAAATTCATGATCATAATTTTTAAGCCATGCATAAATTCACTATAGAAAAATATCTTTTGAAGATTCTTCTTGTCATTTTTTTGCTATGAAAAATTGCATCTAGATTAAGAAGTTACATGACGTTAAACAAATTCCTTCCCTCTTATACTACTACTTGTTCTGCTGTTGCATTTGGCATAATTTGGGTTTTCTTAATTGGCACTGTTCTTTCACTGAATTATGAAACTAGTCTTCAAGTTTCATTTTTAACCTTTTAAGGAAGAATATTTGTTAGCAAGTCATCCATAACCATTAAATTAATGCTAAAAACATTAGAATGAGAACCAACATGGACTGCAGGCTTAATTAGGTGGACTTCAAATCTTGAGAGAACAACCATTTCAAAAATATTTTTTTAAAACCTGAGAAATGGTGATTTAGTTAAGTAAGTTCAAAGAACATCTGACTTCAGTTTTCATTCTGTCATTGTGATATGTTTCAATTTTAATATAAATGCTAGGACTTTTTAATGCTCATAATTTTTACAGGGAAAAAACAGTTACATTTAGAGTTCTAATGTTTATCACCATCTGATGCTGTCATGGAAGCAATTGCTACTTACACTCTTTTAAGAAGTGAGAATTGCAATTTCTCTAACTGATGACAATGTAATTATTTCTTTTACTGTCAAAACAGAGGTGATTTCCCTTCTTCACATACACGATTCCACATTCAAACCCAGGCTGATCTGAAATCTTATAAATGTTCCAAAAGTTTCAGTCTGAATGAGTGAGATCACATGATGGAAATCAAGTGGACTGCCATCCGCCCTACACATACTTTTATCAACCCCTTCTCCTGCAAGGGCTCATTCCTTAGCAGCCACACAGCTTTCAACACAATGTCATACCATCTACAATACACAGCAACAATCATTACAAAAATAACTAGGAGGGAAAAAGGCACAACTCATGTGAATATCCCACTGGGAGGTTTAAATGGCTCATTAACTATTCATTAACACATACAAAAGTCAGCCCTTCAGAAAAGCAAGTCTTACACAAGATCTGTGCCACCCCATGAATGCCACTGGGTGCGCGCTGTCCTACCTGGTCTTTGAGCTGTTGCATGGAAGTCTGGAGGTTCAGAATCTGGCTGAAGAGTGGGCTCTGCAGGACTGACTTCAGGAGGCTCAGCTTGTCTTCGTTTGCTACATCCCCACGTTCCCGCAGCTTAGCTTGCAGGCGCTCTGCTGCCTGCAGGGCTCGATTTTTGTCTGTTCCAAAGAGCAGCATTAGTCAGTCACAGGACTCCACAACATGTATCAAACTGAAGAGCACACCATGTTGTACAAATCCTAAAACACTTCCTTTCAGGCCCACAAAATGGTCTCTTTTCATCAGAATACAAAATGTTTTTATGGAGTACAAAAATCTAAAAAAGTAGATAATTGAGTACTTTTTAATATCTTCCCAAATTAAATAGCAAGTTAAATTGCATATTTATTTACATATTTTTCAAAGCAATCCAATAGGTGGGACAAAAGGGAGGGACTGTAACATGTGACCCTAAATATACCCAACAAACCTTTAAGTTTCTTATAGGTAAGTTTGTTTGAACTCAGGGAATTGGGTATAGCATATGCTACATGCAACTAGTTCTTTTTAAAGTACAGAAACTAATTCAGATAAAATATATTTGAATTCCAATGCCATCTGTTTCAATCCTCATATAAAAATTACATAAAACCAAATGATCTGTGATCTTGAAAATGCTAATGTTTTCCCTTTTAAAAAACTTTTTTACATATAAGAAAAATTAGAAATACACTAATGAGTGGCTATGGATAATGTCAGTAGTGAAACACAACCCCCGAAATATAACAATTGCACATATTAAGGGGCAAAACATTCTATACTTGAGAACTAGGTTGAAAAATATAACATTATAATACATACTTCTTCAAAAACACTACTGTTTAAATGTCTTTCCCTAAAATTAATTATATTACGAAAAACCTACGTATGGATTTCAAATTTTTTTTGTATTAAAACAGTTTTCTTTTAATTCCATTTTAGTCTATATTGCTCTAATAGATTCATGATGGTGACAAGTATATCTATTAAAATATATTTGCTGGGACAGATGTTGTACAGGAGGTTAAGCTACCACCTGGGACATCCCATATGGGAGTACCTGTTTCAAGTCCTGGCTATTTATGCTTTGGATCCAGCTCCCTGCTAACACACCTAAGAGGCAGCAGATGTTGGCTCAACTACTTGAGTTCCTGCCACCCACATAGGAGACACATATTAAGTTCCCAGCTCCTAGCTATGGCCTGGTCCAGCCCCAGCTGTTGTGGACTTTTGGGGAGCGAAACAACAGATGGAACATTTTCTCTCCCTCTCTTTCTCTCCTCCTTTTGCTCTCTGGGTCAATATGCCTTTCATGTAAATAAATGCAAATGAATCTTTTAAAAAGCAAAACGAACTAAAATTAATATTCCATGTTACAGTAGTCAAAAAGAACTGGAGTCATTACCAGAGATCATTTATTTAGCATCAAATATGGAGTTATACAGAAATATGGTAATTAAAACATGAATTGATGTTGATCATGAGTTCATACACACACATACACACACAATGAAATAAATACTAATTATTTATTTGTATAATTTTAAAAGTAAATAATGATGAGGATGAACATAGAATTTTATTCAGGGTTATACTTCCCATGGTATCTCAGAATAAAAATTGAATATTAATCTCTATGTTAATTCTTGTAACTCAGTACTAGCTAACAGATTGCAGCCAGACAATAACAGTTTAAAACATACTGTCCTTCCCCTTTCCTTTCTTATGAGGACCTTTCCAACAGGGAATTTCTCCTTTCACGGTCACGAGCTCTCACTCCACCCTTCATGATGCACAGCCATCCAGGTATCAGCCAAGGGGGAAATCAAGACACCCACAAATAGCCATAACCAAAGAGTTACCTGAAATAGGTATCAGATACATGCAGGTTTGTACCATACCTGATATACCTATAAATAATTCTACCAATTAGTTTCCCTAAAACTGAGGAACAGTGAGAAAGAGAGATCACCAGGTAAGACCAACAAATTTGGATATTTCAATCTAAATTACCTCATACAGAAGTTAATATGCCTGAAGTGAACTCGGTTACTCTGATTGTTGCTCTTCTCTTTATCAATAAAAGGCAAGAACTCAGTAGTACTGCACATGCTACAAATAAAAGTAATCACCTTCTTTCCGTATTAAAAATAGTATTAAACTTCCTGGTACTACTCAAAAACAAACATTAACTAGAACTGGGTTCATAAATCAGAATTGGGTCTAAATTTTGTTTCATTGCAACCCATAATTTGAAGAGGATCTCATGTTTCTTTTTGTTTACAAATGATGTGGTTTTTTTTTATAACACTTCAGATGAAATTGTCCAAATACAGAAACTCATTAGCCTGGTATAATGCTAATTTTTTTAAAATCTAAGTTGCTACACACACAATCCTGCTTTGTAGAACATCTCATATTTCAAAGATCCTAATGGAGTTTCAATTCTTACAAAAGTAGGCAGGAGAGTCTTACCTATGGTTTCCAACATTTTTTTCCCAAAGTTCTGTGCTTGTATCAATAATGGTTATAAATCCAAATGGAATCCTGGAGAAAATAAATAAATAAAATGGAATGATTATGTTTTATTAGAACAGTATAATTATCTCCTAAAATTAAATACTTTGAAAAGCACTTCATAGAGTATTATTATAATTACTGACCATTAACATATTGTTAAGAGAGTTCTCATTATAAGCAAAAAGAAAAAGTAATCACTTTATGATTTATTCAAAATTATCTTATATTTTCTCATAATACTGGCATAGTAAGGTAAAAGGCATAAATTCTGTTTTAAATAAGATGGTAAAAGTTTCCAAAATATTTCCTTAGGAGCTTTTCAACATACATAACCATAATCTTGGATTAACTTATAGATCTTTAATTATAGAATAACGAGTTTATTTGACTCTGCATAAGAAATTCTGTGAACAAAAATGTAAAAAGTAGAAGATGTGATCTAGCCTTCAACTGCTCAGAGTCCTAACTGGGGTAACAATATATGCATGCCAACTGGAACTGAATTGTGACCCTAAAGCAGGATGTGAACCACTGGAATATAACAGTACATCACTAATAAAAAATTCAATGACAGCACAGTGAGAATTATACTCTTCTGATGATAATGTTCTCCTCTTTCCCATTCAAAACACCCTGTGGACTCCTTCACCCTACATGGGTCTTATCTTCCTCTAACAACATTTAATTAGATTCTTGGATATATGGAAAACAGATCTGTTCTGCCAATGTCTATATCACCAAGCCATCTTCAACCTTTCCCGCCCAAGAATTCCGCACAATTGTCTCCATAGTTACCTCTCTCCTTTGACTCACAGAAAATCAACTGGTCTTTCTTCAAGTGGACAAAATGAACCTATCATCACAAATCCTCATTCTTTATCTGGAAGATAAGTCACAGGATTTCTCAGAAAAAGAACAAGTTGTCACCTGTTTCCTCTTTAAGAGAAAATAACCAAAAAGGAAGAAAGGGTGTGATAGAGATGAGCACATGCACAGAACACCAACATCCGGCCATTAGCTCTGCACAGTAACAGAGAACAGAACCCATTTAATTTAATGTACACTGTCTAAAACATTGTCTCTATTTGAAATAGTCAAATGGCTTAACTATTGGCTCATGTTTTAAAATGTGCCCTGGTGTCAAAGAAATAGACATCGGCTCTGACCTTGAATTGAAAATTAAATAGCAATGTGGCCCGGAACAAGGGGCCTCTCATTTCAACCTTAGTCTTCTAGAAAATAAGCTTACTTATTTGGTAGATTGTGATAAATGACATGAAGTATTATAATTTCTAGCTAATAGAATAATGTGTAACCATAAAATATATACTCAGAATCACATATAATCATGATTAATGTTCAGTTTGTCTAGAAAGGCAAGCAATGCGGGACTTTGCATAGTTTCAGGAGACAAAATACACAGAAAGATTTTAAAACTAAAGTGGTGGGGAACAGGTACTGTGGGATAGCAGGTTAAGCCACTGCTTGGAATGCCTGCATGCCTTATTGGTGTGTCTCATTTCAATCCCTGCTACTCTGCATGCAGGATCCAGCTTCCTCATTACACTTGCCAGCAGCAGATGATGGCCCACGTATTTGGGTTCTTGCCACCCACATGGGAGACCCAGATGGAGTTCCTAGCCCCTGGCTTTGGCCTAGCCTAACACTGGCTATTACAAGAATTTGAGGAGTGAACTAGTAGATGGAAAATCTCTTTGTTTCTCTCTCTACCACTATTTCAACAAATAAATTAATCTTTAAAAACAAATAAATAAACTGGTGGGTTTTTTCTTTGTATTACAAGGAGACTATAATACTCCTTCATGAAACAGCACAGTATTACATTCCTTGTGGAAAAAAGATTCACTCTAACAAAAAGAGTCCACCTTGTATATTCCTTCGCCCCGCACAGATCTAATCTTCCTCTGACAACACTTAATTAGACTCTTGGAAATAAGGGAAACAGATCTGCACAGCCAATGTCTATGTGAAAGCTATTAAGACCCAAGTTGGGATACCTGCTGAGTGTCTGGGTTCAATTCCCAGCTCTACGCGTGATTCCAGCTTTCTGCTGATACACACCCAGAGAGCCAACAGGTTATGGTTCAAGTATTTGGGACTCTGCCACCTGTGTGAGAGACACGGACTGTGTTCCTGTCTCCTGGCTTTTGGCCTGACCCAGCCTCAGTTGTTATGGGCATTTGAGGAGTGAACCTGTGATGGAAGATCTCTTTCTGTCTCTCTCTCAAATAAATTAATTTTTGAAAACACCAGTAAAGGTATCCCGGCATGAGAAAGTCCAAGGTATATTTGATTAAAAAGCCCAGGAAGAAGTCTGAAAGCAATGAAAAGTATGTATAATAGAGTCTGATGACCTGAATATACATTTAATTATTTATTAAATATATGCTTTTGTTAATCAGTTATCTTTTTAGAATCTCTGCATTACAGATGAATGATATTTATAAAGTCTTGAAAGAATATATACATGAGTACTTGGTATGTACAATAAACTTCAGCTCTATCTACTTTCTCCCATGAAAAATTAACTCAGAAAGATGGGCATTTTTCATGGCATGGGGGAGACAGCCTGTGGATTCCGAGGCTTCTTGACTTATCAGGAGTTCGCAGAGAAAAGTACAGAGCAGGCAGTTCTCAATTGAGAAAAACTATTATCCAAAAGTTTACCTACAACTCTATTATGTAGGAATAGAATTAATTTTTTTTTTTTACCCCTGAGAAACTCTTTTCATAACAGCTTAAAAATAAAAGAAAGTAAAGAAAGTCATTCAGCTGCAAGTCACTGACAGTGGTTCCCAGAGGAGAACTCTACTTCTCTGGATTTCAGTGACGGCAAAATAGTCTCACATTATCTCTGCTGTGCTTTGACGTCCCTGAAATAAACACATAGCTTGTTTTAAGGTTTCCAGAGGACTTCATCATTAAGCAACCATAACAGAGGGACAAGAAATGTTTTTCTTAAATTTTATTCCTTTCTATGACTTATACCCCTATCCCAAAACTCCAGTTCTAAATATAAGCAAACTCATGTGTGATCACAGAATTTTTGAGATGGAGAAAGAAAGCGAATTCACACCCTTCAGATCACAGACATGAATTCTCCTTTTCACCCTGTCACCATCCCACCATCCTCCTTCCCTTTTTACCCATCTCAACACTAAATGGAAGTATAAAGATACCTGAGTGATAACAGTAGGTCATAGCCAATAAGTAGAACTTAAAAATAAGACTCAACAACACATCAAAAGAATGCCAAGTTCCATGAGTTCTTTTTTTTTTTTTTTCTGGCCAATTCACACAGTGACAATGACACACCAGGATCAGTAAGGAGAAGAGATAGCTGTGGATAGGATAACAAGGAGATTGACACTAATTCAGAGACAAGTAAGAGTAGAAGTCCGGCACCTTCCACATGCTGGGTGGGCCCTACTGGAAGAATAGTTTCCAATTAAACCCTTGAAGTTTCACACAATCCACTCAGGTTCCAATTTAAAAACACCTGAGACGCAGAAAGGTTATGTAACTTGCCTAAGGTCATACCTTGAATAAGTGATGGAGACAGGACTTGAACACAGGCATTCAGAGTCCACAGTTTAGCCTCTACAATAGGAGGAAGATTCATTTTACCTCCCTCCTTCACTTTCCCAAGTTCAAAATTATCACCTAGATCTTGCCCTACACAAACTGAAACCTAACGAAGAAATAGATATTCAAAGTGAAAGAAGTGTGCTGACTGGTGGGGACAGTCAACATATCTATGTCCAAAATTATATATTTAGAAACTACTAGTATGTTTGTCAAAGAAAGATAATAATCATCATTGTTCATATGTTTAAACAAATCACATTAAAATTCCAAGATTTCAAGAAATATTCTTAAAAATGTACTCCTTATATTAATAAAAATGGTACATTTTAAAGCATGGCTGTAGGGCAGGTATTTAAACCTTCTGGTTAAGTATTACCTACAACTCTATTATGTAGGAATAGAATTAATTTTTTTTTACCCCTGAGAAACTCTTTTCATAACAGCTTAAAAATAAAAGAAAGTCAAGAAAGTCAATTCAGCTGCAAGTCACTGACAGATGAGAACTCTACTCCTCTGGATTTCAGTGATGGCAAAATAGTATATGGCAAAATAAGTATATAAGTATATAGTAAGTAAGTATATAGTAGTAAGTATATATAAGTATATAAGTATATAGGTCAGAGTATTTGGGTTCTATGCCCAGCTCTGGTTCTGACTCCAGCTTCCTACTAATACTCAAGTGACTGGAATCCTTTCATCCACGTAGGAGACCTGGATTGCCCAGACCCAGCCACTGTAGGCATTTGGGGTGTGAACCAGAGATGGCTGCTTAACTTGCTCTCTCTTTCACTCTCTCTCCCTGCTTCTCAAATAAATGACATTTCAAAAATACATGTTCAAATAATATAGAAAGTCCTAGTTCTCTTCTAGATACTGTTCATTCTGCTTGTTGCCAAATCACTAATTGATCATAACTGAACCTTAAGTCTATTTCAATAGTCAAGGCACTCACAACCACAAGATATATCAAAAATGGCCCAATTAATTCAGTATCAACTAGGTATATATTCACCATGAGAGTGGGTGCCCTAACCATCTTGATCCCCATAGTATCCACCAGTGCCTGGCATTTTATTCTCTCCATTTTCCAGATAAGAGAACCCAGAACAAAGTAGATTTTATTCAAAGATTTTATTCAAGGTCCAAATACTGAGTAAATAGAATTTTGACTGTAACCCAAATCTGTTTGCTTTCAAAGCCCATACTTTATCACAACACCTCATATTTTCCATATTGTTTTGCAAAAATCATATGGGAGAAATATATTGTCAAATTTAAAAAGTCCAAGGAAATGAAGACGCAAGAAAATGCATTTTCTACTACTATTTGTATAAAAGAAAAGGAGGGTGGCCAGATGTTGTGGCACAGCAGTGTGAGCTGCCGCTCAGGACACACTCACCCTTTATGGGTGCCTGGTTCCAGTCCTGGGCTACACTGGTCCTGATCCAGTTTCCTGCCAATTCACCTGGGAAACAGTACATGATGGCTCAAGTATTTGGGCCCCTGCCACCCATGTGGGAAACCTGGTTGGAGTTCTAGGCTCCTGGCTTTGGCCTGGCCCAGTCCTGGCTGTTGTGGGCATTCAGAGAGTGAACCAGTAGTTGGAAGATATATCTCTCTTTCTTGCTCTCTTGTGCTCTCTCTCTCTCCACAAAATCTTTCTCTCTTGCATGTACAGCAACCACAATGCTATAGTAGGCCATGAGGTCTTCACTCATCCAACCCCATGACAGCATCCTGCCTTTGAACCTCTAGAAATGTCAGCCACATAAATCTGTTTTTATGAAGTCATCTAGGCTTAGGTAACAACAGAAAATAGGCTAGTATACCCAGTCAAATTTGAATTTCAGATAAATGAATAATTTTAGTGTATTTTCCATGAAATACTCAGGACATACTTATACTAAAAACTAATTTGTTCCTTATCTGAAATTCAAATTTAACTAGGCATCTGTTATTTTATCTGGCAACCCCACTATGTATGTATTACCTTAAAAAAAAAAACCCTAAATTTAAAAAAAAATCATTTTTAACAAAGCCTTCAGCCTTAAACCATAAATTTAAGTAAGAGTTGGCAAATCCTTAATAAATGAATAAAGATTTTCACATATGACCATAGAATCCCCAACAAGTGGTTGATAACAATAGTTCCAAGCAGAAACTAAGTAACTGACTAATCGATTTTCTTTTCCAGAAGTTATGCTGGTAGTGTATAGGCACAGCTTTGACGGAGGACAGAAGCAGTGTTTGAAATATCACACCAATCTTTCT